ATGCAAATCCGTCATATTGCCAATTTAATTACATGCCACCTGTGCAATGAGCTCTTCTTCTTGCACGAAAACCCTACAGCACCTTCACAGCTGAACTTCATGTAGCACAGCAGCAAACGCAAATACTGCAAGTTGAATGTACCAAAGATTCATGAGGACAGTGACTAAAAATAGCGAAGACAAGAGACAAAACTGTTTTACCAACTCGTGACCGACCGCCAAACCCTGCATCTAAAACTCCTCTATGGCTCATGACAATGACACAATCAAGCTCCGTCCTGCTCCCCACATAGCTCACAGCTCCAGCCGCTGCTGTGGCATGACCGGGCCACTGCTACATTGTTTGGAAGCTGTCTGCAAATGTAAAGGCACCTGACTAAGCTTTCCTTCCTCCCAAAGCCTTGATTACAGAGGCACCCTCGGATCTTGCTATGTCGCGCCGCATCGAACTCAATGCGGCTTCTCGGCATCAGGTGTTTGTCTCTAGTAACTGATTGGCTTGTATTGTTCTACCAGTTGAACATAGTCTGCTACGCAAGTAGTTATATGGGTTGCTTCAATTCACTGCAAACTTAGAGCACACTCCCACATGCCAGCTTGCGCAGATAAGATGTTTGGAGTTTGGGGCCTACAGCACTTGCTCGGTTCATGACGCACAGGGTTTTGGGCCTATAGTATATAGCACTCCCCCAATTCATGGCGTACGGGGTGACGGTCTGAAACTCAAGCCTTTTACTTCTTACCCTTCACGCCAGGATTGAAGCCTCCACCTCGTCGTCAGTGGTTGCGGGTTCCAACAGTAATTGGAAATGATATCCACGAGTCTATGCTCTCTCTCTCTCTCTCTCGCCGTCTCTCCCTCAATCCCTCCCTCCCTCTCTCTCTCTCTCTCTGTCTCTCTCTCTCTCTCTCTCTCGCTCTCTCTCCCTCCCTCCCTCCCTCCCTCCCTCCCCTCCCTACATATATATATATATATGTAGATATATATATATATATATATATGCACGCCCATCAGTGTTCACACTATTGTGCTTAAAGCCGCCTTGCAAAATGTTCAAGCCGAGACTGTAGTTTCTGTCATCTGGTATTCGGGATGCGGGTGGCGGTTGTGAGATGGTACGGCTCGCCCAAACGGGGTGGGTTTAGGGGAGTTCGGGCTTAGAGCTTGCCAGAATTTAGGTTCTTTTGTTGGGGGCTGGTCCTAGAATCCAGGGTCGGTGTCAGGTGTGGAGACTTTTCGGAAGATCATAGAAGCGATCCCTGAGTCCCTGAGCCCTATGCATGCGAGAGTGAGCTCAGTGGTTATATTTACGCTTCCATGCAGGTACGGTTCAGGGTGTACGGCTTAGGGCCAATTCGTGTTGGCTTCTAGTCTTCGAGTTTCTGTAACCCGGAAAAACTTGCAACCAGTAACTACTGGGTATGTCATACACTGCCGATGAGCCGTCTTTCTTGCCGTCCATCACAGACTTGAACAAAGTGCACCGTGCCCATTTATCTATCTGCACATGCTTTGACATGTTTTGGTTGCGTACCAGCATAAACACTCCAGCAAACACGAATCAAGAAGATGACACCACCCTCTCGTAAAGGCGCTGATATCATTCTATGCTGATTCCTGTCTGTTGGTGGCGTTGCTGACATGATTGTTTGGCTTCCGGTGCCAGGCTTCTTCAAAACTCCCCAGCCTGTACTGTACCGAAAACCATCAACTTATCAAAGCCGGCTTGCCCGAAATAACCTACCTTTGCAAGGATTTCTGCAAGGAAATCAGGAAGGGGGTATCCTAAACAGGCAGGATTGATGAGGTTCAGGTAGGCCCTAAACCCTACGAGCCCTGAATTCTACCTCCGAGCCCAGAGTTCAGGATGTTTTTGTCTAGGGTTGGGGTGTAGGGTTCAGAGCTTAGGGTTTAGAGTTTATGGTTGTCGGAGTTTCGGGTTGAATTCTCATCCATCGTCTTGATCGGCCTGAAACCTTATTCTGGGGGTCTAGGGGCAGGGTTGCCAGGAGTAATATAGGCCTTAAACTTGAGAAGAATCTAAGGATTCATAGTTATTTAGGCTGCTGGATTACCCTGAACCTCACAAGCAAAGCCGCCGTTTTCCTTGAAGCGATGGTGCCCAGTGCCCACTGTACTGATCTCGGAAATTATCCGATCAGGCTTCAAGCAGGTGGCAAAAGCAGTCCCAAGCAGACTGCACCTTATTCTGCGCGAGGCCGGTTCTTCTCAACGAAACAGCCGTCCGCTTACTTCAGGCGGCCCCCGTAAAAGCCTCACGGCCCCCTCAAGCACCAACCAGAAACTCAAGCCCCGTGCAGTCATCATGAGAGCCCATGAGCCTTTGTCTCTTGCACGGAGGTGCCTCCCCAACAAGAAGCAGAACTCCGATCTTCGGACAAAAGCAGGGCAACAGCTAGCATTGACAGCGAAGTCGTAAGCCGCACATGATCAATTGCCTTTTCGCATGAACTGCGGATACCGCTACGATATGCCCACATGTTCTCACCGTCACTCAGTGCTCAGGGGTAAGTCGTAGGGGTAGTTTTTGTAGTAGTAGTAGTAGTAGTAGAAGTAGTAGTAGTAGTAGTAGGAGTAGTAGTAGTAGTAGTAGTAGTAGTAGTAGTAGTAGTAGTAGTAGTAGTAGTAGTAGTAGTAGTAGTAGTAGTAGTAGTAGTAGTAGTGTAGTAGTAGTAGTGGTAGTGGTAGTAGTGGTAGTGTAGTAGTAGTAGTAGTAGTAGTAGTAGTAGTAGTAGTAGTAGTAGTAGTAGTAGTAGTAGTAGTAGTAGTAGTAGTAGTAGTAGTAGTAGTAGTGGTAGTAGTAGTAGTAGTATTAGTATTAGTAGTCGCAGGAGTAGTAGTAGTAGTCGTCGTCGTAGTAGTAGTAGTAGTGGTAATAGTAGCAGCAGCTGCGGCTAGAAGAAACTGCAACAGTGATAGCAATGTCGCCACCGCCGCCGTAGTCGCAGTGGCACTGTAAGCCTAAAGCAGTAGCCTGGCTGTGATGTTGGTGGCGAAGAGAGGGTCATAAGTCATAAGCAATTTAAATGACAGCACTATTCAAACATTTTCTCGATCAGCAGCCACGACAACAAGCACACCTGTGACAATTCTTGGCCGGCAGGGGTCATTCGTATTATGATTCTTGCTGCTAGTACATTCATTACCTAAGTCGACATCAGCTCTGCTTTTGTCCGGTCTTCTCAAGGCTGCGTCTCTCACTGCCAGCGTGGTCCACAGAAGGTGCTGATGGAAGCATCCGAAAAGGAGTTTCCTGACATGGCATCAGATTTAAGCGGGGCTTTTAAGTTCCCTGTCTGTCTCTTCAGCATATGGGAGTTTTCCAAAATGGGGGACCCAAAAAACAGTACTCTAAATAGTCGGACCCTTATTATAAGGACCCCAAATAAGGTACCCCAAATTTTCGGAAACTCCCATATTTTGTTCGGTTTCCTTCTCCCTCCGTTTCGCTGTCCCTCCCTCTCTCGCTTGCTAACTCCCTCGCTCGCTCTGTCTGGCAAGCCGCTCCAACAAAACACGAATGCGCTGCCCGCTTACCCTTGATAGCGCTTTTACCCATCCCAACAGTTTTCGTAACTCCGATGAGTAATGCCTCTAAACTTCCGGAATTTGAAGGATCTGTGGGAAGAGAACATAAAACTATGTCGGTACAAAGCGCACATTGCATCTGGACATGACGCGTGCCCAATCACATGTAACATACAGGCATCTAAGTCCATGTGGCTTAGCTGCCTGGCCGCCTCTGAAAATGCCACCTTATGCCAGCTCTTGTTTCTTCTCGCGCCGCCTGATGACACGAGCTTGACTTCCATGCAGCCTTCTCAAAAGGTGCAGTGATGGATCGAATGATCCAACCCGGATTCATGGACAAACATTTACAATCTAGAATTTGATTCTATCGTCTTCTCCGAACAGTTGCACAGCTTTGCTTCGCAATGCCGGCGACTGCCGATTTGAGGTTGTTACATCGGTACACGGCACAGAAAGCACGGCTCTGCAGAAAACCAAGAACTTGAACCATGGGATAAGTTACTTAGTAAATGCCACGTCCAGTTTTGTCTTAGGCTGCAAAAGATCTGACTATGCGAGAACTCTGCATTGTCGTATAACTACCTTGCATCAAGTTCTTCGGCTGAAGCTTTATCTAATGTTGACTATAGTAGCCTGCAGTGCAGGACTACATAAGATGGTTTCACATTGAGCAATAACGATTTGTTTACATATGTACATATAGATATAGATACATGTGTATATATATATAGATATACATACACGAGGTAAATCCTGACATCTCAAGCCATGCTATCCTATGTTGCTTTATGCTACGTTTGTACAACATTAGACTACCCAAGTGGAAGCTTCCGAAATGTGGGACCCCAACAGAATACCCTAAATAGTAGGATCCTTACTATAAGGACCCCAAAATACGGTAACCCCCAATTTCAAAAACCTCCCAGTTCTTTCAAGCTCGGACTGTTGGGTTTCCTGCGTTGGTGCAGCTCCGCGGATGTTGCAGACGAGGCTTTGTCAATCCGCAACAGCAAGTTTAGGGTTTACCAAGAGGCTCCATAGTAGTCGCTTTTTGCGGTTCATAACAAGCATCCTATAAGGTAATCCCAGAAAGGAACTAGACTATGGAGCCTATGGGTATAGGCTCTGCAGGATTATATGGGCTTACGCTCTCGGGATCTCTCGGGGTTGAATCTGTTTGCCGGCGTTCTAGAGCTAAGGGCTAAGCCCGGCTTTCACGGCCTTTTAGAGTGGGTTTGGGGCATCGCATCGATGTCCTTGCAGAAGTAGCCTGTGCAAGTCAGATCCCTTGAAGGGTTGAGCTTGCTCCGGTCCTATGACATCTCACGACACCACGGCATAAAGCATCAGCAGGACCCTGAACCTCAATCCTAATGAAAGTGCGAAAATCTGCACCCTAAAGCCCTCAACCCTAAACCCGTCAGGCATTTACATCTGAAGCCCAAGCTCAGTGCCCGAGAAGGCGAGACGACATCTCTCGGGATCTCTGTCGAGCCAGCCGTGCCTGGCGAGTCTTGGGGAATGGGGGGTTTGCTTCTCGAGCCGAAGGTTCGCCAGAAGTCGGGGACCCTGATGAACCACGAGCAGGAACACAGCAAGCGCTTTTTTTTGAGGGGCCCTTGGAGCGTCAGGGTCGGGTGGGACGGCTCCAAAACAGTAGGGTTTGAAGTTGTAAAGCTAAAGGGTATGGATGAAGCCAATGAGTGGGTTTGAAAAGAAAACGCGATTCAGGGCTTAGGGTTTAGGGATTCAAGACGAACCTTCAAGAGCCCAAACTTGCCAAAGCTGTAGATCCCTCTATTTTGGAGAACTGTCGGGCAGGCACCAAGACTGCGTTGTGCCCGGTTTCGAAGCCGCTCAACCTGGGCTCAGGGTCTGCAGAGGGTAGGTCCAAGGCATTCGCGTGACCTCGCGGCCTTATCGTAATAGGCTTCGTTTTTTTTTTTTTTTTGGGGCCTGCAAATGATTCGATTTAAGAATAGAGTAGTTCCGCGCATCCTCCAAAACCTCTTCAAGCCTAGCAGCCCTCTTCCGCATGTGTGACCAAGCCAAGCCATGAATACGACCATACTCAGGAATAAACCCTAACCCTAATATACTGGAGAGGGTTTCGGATCGAGCCGCGAGGGCTGTAGTTCCCCGGTATTGCTGAGACCCCAGTGGGTATACTCCCACGTACACCACGGTCGGGCGAAGTCCCGCGTGGCATCGGGTCCTACGTAAGCGTAGGCAGAAAGCCCGCAATCGGATTTGGTGCAGCCGCCGCAGCGGCACACGTCCCTGGGCAAGGGATATCAATCTGCTGCGAGCTCATCACTCCGCTCCGGAGTATCGAGAAGCGCCTTTCCCTCGACATATGGGACGACGAGGCAGGGACCAAGGCAATCCGGAAAGATGGCACGACTACCAGGACGCGGAGCAACATGGCGATGCTGGTGGGTGGCATTTATGGCCTGGCAGCTATCATGTCTCGCCAAAGGCCAAACAACGACCACAGCCCCCCCGCTACGACCAGCCGGCGCAGAAGGGCAGAGGCAAAGCCAAGGACAAGGATGGACCACCGTGGCGGCCGCCTTCCGACGACCCTGCAGGACCGATGAGTGTCATGACAGCGGTCCAACGCGCACTCACACAGACGCGCAAAGCCGACCAGAAAATTCGAAAACTGCAAGAGGAGCGGAAATCCAAGGATGCGTGCTGGCAGAAGTTTGTTCGCAAATCCCAGGAAGAGTTCCGGCAGCAGAAGAAGCTCTACGAAGCAGATCTTGCACGTATCGACCGCGACCTGGCGACCACTGCAGAGCATGGCAGCAGAGCGGCAACCAGAGTGCAAGACATCGTGCTTCGTGGCCAGGCGGCTATCGAACAGGAGACCTCCAGCGACCATGGCAACATGGAATGGGAACAACATGTGGCCGCCACGGACCAGCTCGATGCAGAGGATGGGTACTTCGGAGAAGCTGTCCGCGCAGCCCGCCACATGAGTGCTCTGGGGACAGCGGCCACAGATGGGGACCTCCGTCGAGCCCTTACACAAGCCTTGCCTACACCACCGATGGTCCGGACACAGGAGATCACAGCTTCCCCGGCCCGCATGACAGCAACGCCTCTTCCTTCATCGTTGTTGCAAAGACCACCACAGGTTTGTGGAGGGCCAGCGGCAGGCACGCCACCGGGCCTCTCTGCAGCGGTATGCAATACGGATGTCACCGACTTGTATCCTACGCCCCCCAGCCCGGGAGAGCCACTCACTCCTTCTGTTTCCCATGCTTTGGGACAGTTAAGTGTGCATACGCCGCCAGCCACTCGTACGCACACAGGACAACGAGACCCGAGCAAGACGAGGGCCCCTACACACCAGGAACAGCCGCGTCCGTCCATCAAGGATGCCAGCAAGCAGACTGCCGCACATGTGGACGATGGGGGTGTCAGTGCACTAGGCAAGAAGCTAGAGGAAAGGCGGAGTCAGGAGAGACGCGCATTGCAGCCCTTTGGCGGCCCAGTTCGCACGACTGCGATCCCGATCCTGGAGAACGAGCACAACCGCCCGCCAGACGACGAGAGCATCTCACTCCTCGACGCTGCTCAGGCTTCCTCGCTCCGACAAATGGAGTAGCGTTGGATGGCCTCTGTCTTCTGTGGACGGCAAAAGGGCGCTTCTTTGCTAACTGGGAAGTATTCGTCTGTCTTTGGGGATCGGACAGCCTTACGAACCCAGTGGTGGATGAGCTCCCTGTCTTGGTGTGTGCTCTCCTTCCCGAAGTGTTCGGAGGGCAATGTCCATTCCCCCAAGCCAGTCGAACGCTTACAGAGGCACTTCGAGTACTGAGATCTGCTGAGGCCGCCTTGTACAGTTTTCTGTACAGTTTTGATGATACACGTCCTCCCGTACCATACCGTCCCTGCCCGCGCACATGGACTTGGGCATACCACGACTCCTCACTTCTTGGGCTCATGACTCTCCCTCCTCCCCGACAAATGGATTTCCTCTCCTCCAGGTGCAGTTATCTTCGAAGACTGCCCCAAGGTGCTTTGGTCTGGACTTTGTCCTTTACCACTTGTGCCCTCACTTGGACTTTGGACACTTGTGGTTCCGGTCCGGTAATACAGAGCAAAACTTTCGCTCCCTGTGCCAGAACACATTGCTCAGCCCTTCCCATAGGGTTTAGTCCTCCCTTTGGGTTTCGTAGTCCTTTTCAAGGATGTCGAGTTGATTGCGAGGCCACTGGTCACCAAGGCGCCTTGTCTTTTGGCTGCCGTGACGGTGTGCTCTCCTCCGGGGATGCGATAAGTGTTTTCCAAACACTTTCCAACACCGCCCTCAAGGGTAGTGCACCCATTTTTAAAAGGGTTCGGGCGCTAAATAGCCGTATCGGTAGCTCAGGGACGGCAGCCGAACCTTGGGAATGCGCTATCTCGTGCTCAACGTCAGGCACTGTGGCAGGAGGTCTATCTGCCCCTTTTCCCTCTGGCACGACAGTTTTGACTCATCAATGCGTCGTGTGGCTACAACATCTTGCAGATCGTTTCTTGTTGCCACTTGCACGAAGCATACTGCTTCTGTTCTTTCTCGGGTTGCTGAAGCTTCTGTTTAAAAAGCAACACATTGTTGGTCCTAGTTGCCGATGGGGATGGTTGTCTCCTCTTACTGGTGCGCCTACTACAATTGTCAGAGCACTCCAGATCGGTACTTGTGCAACACCAGTTCTTAACTGGAAGCCATGGACGGACAGGAAAGGGCGACCACATCGCTCTAAACGCGGCCAACAGGCACGCGACCCTTATTGTACAAGGGTGATCCGTGTCCTCATTGGACTTTTTGCATTGCCTACACTTCCTGCAAAGCAGACACTACATCCGGTCGCCTTCTCATTGTGGGTATTAGGAGCACCGGGTTGTTATGGGATGGCTAGGGAAGGTGTAGCTGCAGACCAGGAGGCCCTTGACGCTGCTGCGGCAGCCAGATACTGGCCACGACAATGGCCAGTTGAGGACATTGAGATGCCCGTTGGCGAAGGATGTCCGGCTTTGCCTGCCCACTACGAACATGAGCCCTCGCCACCAGATGACAGATTATGCTTTGCACAGCTGCCATGGCAACCTCTTCCGCCGACCAGCCTTCCAGAGCAGGATGCAGAACAGTGGTTGGGTGTGACAATCTACACTCCACATTATCACTCTGTTTCATTCGCTGTCAAAGTTGTGCCGGGCACAGATCCTGCATGCATCCTTGACCTCGTCCGCAGAAAGTGTCCATTGCCGCACAACCGCCTCTTTGACACATTGCTCCCAACATTCCCCCAGCGACACCCAGGCTATGCGAACTACATCCGGTTCCCTAGCCTAGTGAGGCAATGTGGGTTGAATGGCTCCTGCGCAGTCATCATCGATGTGTCGCGGGTAGGAGGGCGTTATTTTGCTACCATATTGCCCAGACAACTTGAATATAGTAGTCTTGTCAATTTTCTGGTACCACTGACAGCTGATGGTGATGATTCCCTCCATATATACGTAGGTTGTCAAGTCGAGCCGTGGCCCAGCCACGCGTCAGTCGACCTACACGATGGGGATGTAATTACCGTCGTGCGCAATCTTGAGGCCCGTTTTGATAGAGTACGGTACGAAGAACTGTTCCGAGGCGGTCACCAATTTGGGCCACTCCACCAATTTCCCAATGCCGAGTATGCCGAGGGAATCAGTGTCATGTATCGTACCAATCGATACCTCTTCCTCAACCATGACAATCCAGGCCTCACCCCTGTCGATTTCATATGCCGGAAGCTACGCGTTGAGCCTCATGCCGTGAGTTTTTGCACATTTCCGGCGCAAGACCTGAAAGTCCACGGAGATCATTGCCACTTTGTCACCACCGTTGTTGATGTGCCTCCTGGAGGACAGACAGAAACCGGCAGAAGGCAAATGCGCGACTTCTTTGTCCTTCTTGATCTCAGGCCGCTGGGACTCAAACCACGTTTTCTGCACACGCATGTACCCCAGATACATGTTCCGAGCGTGCTGGCGAGGTTTGAGGTCGAGGTGCCACCCGCATATAGTGTTGCTGTTGCTGGCGGGGGACGGCAGGGACAGGAGGTGTACTTTCAGACTAGCACCACTCTCCTCTTCTATGCAGTACCTGCCGGAGATGCTGACAGTATGTCTGATTCCAGTCGCAGTGCAAGCAACGATATTGCACATTGGCGGTCTCCTTTTGATGACGCAGCTGCGTATAGGGCTGAAGAGCCAGTGTCTGCTGTGTCCATGGAAGATTCCACCCTTCCAGCAGGGCATAGCTGGAACGAGGGTGCTGTTGCGTCTTCTGACCCTGAAGCCGACCTTTGGCCCGCAAGCTGGCCCAGTGCGGCGGGTGCCAGTGTTGCTCCCCACGCGCATGAGTCTTGGCTCGACACACAGCTTCCCGTTGCGCCTGTCGCCGACGGTGGAGATAACAGAACAGCGTTAGGAACAGCGTTAGGTAGTGTGTCGGCTCTGACTGAAGGTCCTGTTGACCCAGGTCTTACTACTGCCTATGCTGGCTGCCAACCTGATTCAGATAGTGATAGGACCCGAGCCCAGGCATCCCAAACGGCACCACAAGAAATTTTGTGCCTAGTTTACAAGCCGGACTTTACACCAGAAATCCTGCAAGTATCCATGCACCTGCCATGCAGCATAGCACAGGCTGTAGAAGGCATCCAGACCAAGAGGTCAGAACACCCTGACATCAATTTTCCGGATGTTATTCCTTCCGTTCCACAGCCTTACCAGGAGTGTATCGTCTGTGTGGCTGTACCGCCATGGTTGGAAGAGCGTGCCATTGTTATCATGGATTGCCGTCACGTTGATACCAGGATTTTTGCTGCTA